AAATTTTATCTCCCCATTGTTGTGACCAAAATTTCACATCAGATTCCTCAGAATGAGTTTCCTGGAGAAAAAAACAATTTGCCTGTTGCCCCTTGCAGAACAGAAAAACAGCTTTGCGCTTAATTGAGTCTTTAAGTCCCCTTGTGTTAAAGGAAAAAAAAGAAATATTAGTTTTTAGTTGGAACACGGAACACATGAAAAGCTTTAAAGAGGAAGTTTAGGAGATGGAGTAGGAAAATCTTGAGGTAAAAGTCCCATCATCCGAAATGTTCCACTGTATATTCCTTTCGTAGTCAGATGTCAGCCCGTACCTGGAGTCTCTACCCTGATACGTTTGCCTTCTATGAAACCAAAAGGGCCCCTGAAGCCTGCAGCCTTGCCTTCCTTCCGAGCCTGGTCGATTTTTGGCCACAACGCTTGTCTGGCTCTCCAGTCCTCTGGGGTCAGGTCTTCAGCAAAGCGGATGCCTTCTTCTTTGCACACGGGAGAAGCCTTTGTTCGCCTCCAGATATCATCTCTCACGGCACGTCTCACAAACAGAATGATGATTTGTCGATGCTTATTCTCCACCGCTCTTCCCACTCTGTGGACAACATCAACTGCTTCTTCCATCTTCATCTTTAGGTCCGGAGCAATCCTTCCTAGAAGTTCCACCACTTCTTCTCTGATATTTTCATTTGTTTTCTCCTTTTTCCCTTTGATACGAAGACACCATCTTCTTTTGTATCTTTCCTGGCTCAATACACGATCCTTAATATCGTCATTATCTTTTTTGATTGATTCCATCTCTTTTTCCAGGTGTTTTATTTTCTTTTTGCATTCTTGCAGCTCCTCTGAATTAAACTGCACTGATTTAGCGATGGAAGCCAGCATGGCGCTATGTTGTTGAATTTGTTTGCTAACTTCGTCCATGCGGTCATCAACACGTTTTCCAAGACTCTCAATAGCTTTCAGTATAGTGTCAGTGGATGTGTTGGAGTCATTATCACTAGCCGTACCTTTTGCTTTTTTCTCCATATGTGGTTTCTCAGGAGTATTATCAGGGGTTGTTAACAGTCTGTCCCTCTTGTTGCTGCTGGAATCAGCCGTTTCCATCGGAGCTGGGTAGTCATGCTTGCTGTTTCTCTGGGTTGTAAAAGGGAGGTTTTTCACTGCCGGAGGTTTCGTGTTGTTGGTTTTCTTCATGTTCGGGCTGAAACGTCGTCAATATAGCTCAAAGGAGTGGATTTTATAACTTCAAGATTAAAACATCGGGACTTCAGTGAGGAGTTCAGACGGATGCGACTGCTTAGTCCGCCATCTTGCCCCCTCCTCCGCCGTCGGTAACTGTCGCAAGGTTGGCAAAGAGAGGAAATGACGTAACATTCACGCATGCGTGGTACCGATCGGATTTCCGGTACGGATCGGGTAGTGACACGTGTTTACGCTGTTTCCATAGCAACACCGGAAGTGGGCATCGGCTTTGTTTTCCACCTTCTTTGCTACTTTGTACGTTATGATAAGTTCGTCAGATCAGGGCTTTGAGACTTTATTTTGTCGCTGAACTGAATTTATTTGAGGAAGAAAGGTTGTTGATTTCAGAACTCATCGTTTGTCTCGTTTGCTTAGTTTAGGACCATCTCAGCTTTAATATTTCATCTAATAATTTAATAATTTAAAGAAGCACCTGTTTTCATTTGGCAGTTCATTCAGAGTTAAACCCTCCCACTTCTGTGTTCCTTGTCTGTCTATTGTTTGCATGCCCCGTGTGTTCATGATTAATAAACTCTTTAAAATTGCCTTCTTGCCCGCATTTTGGATCCTCACCTCCGCTGCACTCACCTGCACACTCCGTGACACCAGCCTCTTTCTATTGAAGTGGGGCGACACCAAGGGTTAGCGGAGGTGCGACGTCAGTGTGTTTTATGTGACTTAGTTCAATTTCATTTCTTGTTTTATAGTCCATCACATAACGATCTAAGAATGTCCCTGTTGGAAAAGATCCAGAGTAAAAATCCTCATTTGTTCTGCAGATGGTGAAATGTTAAGTTGGCTTTTTGACCAAGAAATTTTAACATTAGCAAAATTTATAGAGAGCGTGGAAACAGACAAATGGTACTTTATCCTGCTATGGAAAACAGAGGAGGAGCCAGATATTCCATTCACCCGGGGCTTAGCCCTGACGCTGGCTATTATCCAGTGGCTAATGTGAATGCAATAGGACTCGTCGTCGTCTTCCTCCGCTTATCCGGGTCCAGGTCGTGGGGGCAGCATCCCAACTAGGGAGCTCCAGACCGTCCTCTCCCCGTTCACCTCCACCAGCTCCTCCGGCAGGACTTCAAGGCGTTCCCGGACCAAATTGGAGATGCAACCTCTCCAACGTGTCCTGGGTCGACCCGGGGGCCTCCTGCCGGCAGGACATGCCCGAAACACCTCCCCAGGGAGGCGTCCAGGAGGCATCCTGACCAGATGCCCAAACCACCTCAACTGACTCCTTTCGATGTGGAAGAGCAGCGGTTCTACTCCGAGTCCCTCCCGAATGTCCGAGCTCCTCACCCTATCTCTAAGGCTGAGCCCGGCCACCCTACGGAGGAAACTTATTTCGGCCGCTTGTATCCGCGGTCTCGTTCTTTCGGTCATTACCCAAAGCTCATGACCATAGGTGAGGATTGGGACGTAGATCGACCGGTAAATCGAGAGCCTGGCTTTCTGGCTCAGCTCCCTCTTCACCACGACAGATCAGCTCAGCGTCCGCATCACTGCAGACGCCGAACCAATCCGCCTGTCGATCTCCCGATCCCTCCTACCCTTACTCGTGAACAAGACCCCGAGATACTTAAACTCCTCCACTTGAGGTAGGACCTCTCTCCCGACCCGGAGTTGGCAAGCCACCCTTTTCCGGTCGAGGACCATGGCCTCAGATTTGGAGGTGCTGATCCGTAATAGGACTGTTAAGGCAAACCATCATGAATGAAAAGAAAACATCAAACACCAGGACTGAAATGGTATTGGTTCAAAAGCAGGACTTCAGAACTGGAACTGATGGAAAACAAGATGGCCATGCATCACAAAAGACACAGGGCTTCTGCAAAAACAGCTTGGGCTTAAGCCCCATAAGTGCCTCCCTTACTCCACCCCTGATAAAAAATAAAGGTTGTGTAAATGTACGGCCACTTCTTTATGTTTAAAAGTGTCTTATGAGCCTGTCTGGTCTGGGCACGTGTTGTGCATGACACTTAAATAAACATATTCATTCATGTAGAACGTTAGGAGGCATGAAAACCATTTTTAGGCTAATTGGTCATTGCAGCTTTAACACTAGAACTCTGTCGTTTTGACTGTTTTCATATTTGGATGTAATAACTTTAGTCAGATGGATCTCCGGGCTTTTCCTATTTCTGTTTGTTCTTTATTTGGGTTAGAATTTCCATAAAATAATGTGTCCAAAAACACGGTTGTTTTTGTCTTTGTTTCCCACAAGCCGTCAGACGAAAAAGATCCATGTCGGTCGCCCAGCAAACAATGGAGACTTCTTTTCAAGGTTTGGATTAAAAGGATATTTCCATACCTCATTATTAGGTTCACACATCCATAAAGAGTTAATTAATAATACACTTGAACCGTTTTGTTCCTGTCATCACCAGCCTGCATTTAATGGCCAAAATGGCTGCCGTCAAACTGACGGTTACTGGAAATTCTAGTGAAGTTGGAATTCTGGAAGTTCTGGTGTCAACGCTATTTCTCTAAACAGAGGCTGTTCAGGAAGCTGTCTACAAAAGGTAAAATTGCATCATCTTAAACCCCGAAACCCTTAAAAATGAACAAATATGCCTTCAAGGGAGTGATTCTCACGAAGCCGCAGGAGTCTCAGGTGATTCAGGGGCTGAATAAAAACTGAAGGCATCTCCCACGCTGCAGATCCAATAATAAAACAGGTCCTAGTTATTTTTAAAGCTTCAAAAATGAAGCAGCCCAGGGATCATTTACTTCTCTTGATGTCAACTTTTGATGTGATGGTTTTAATTCCCACCTTCAAGTCTTTTAGACCACCTGAAGGCCGAGGCAGGATCCAGGCTCCACCGACTCTCAGCAGGCGGATGATGACAGCATGAAAAGCTCAGTGGGTCAAATGTTCAACACGAGAAAAGGTGTGTCCCAGCTGGGAGAAAACGCTGCATCATGATCATCGGCTCTCCCAATTACAAGCAACATTACCTGAGAGCTCGACGGAGGGCCAAGGAGTTTATGGGTTCTGGCAAAGACTCAGTGTGGACTTTAGACTAACACCAGAGCCAGAAATCAGAAACACACACCTAAAGCCACTCCGTCATCTACAACCCACACCTGTGTGTGTGTGTGAGACCTCTAATCTCAGCTCTTTAACCTCTCCTCCCCAGAATTTTACCCGGTAATCAGGAAGTCACTCAGATCCAATCTGCTGGAGCTTCCTGTTGGATCCAGCAGAGATGCTCCTGACAGCTGGAGCGTCCTTCTGGGACAGCTTCCAATCAAATGTCACTGCTACTCATGGAAGATATGCATTAATAAAAACATAACAGGAGACATTTAAATGGTCATGACAGGGTCATTTTAAACTATCTGATGCCATCTGCTGGCCAGGGCAAGTGTTAATGATACTACAGCCAGCAGGTTTGTCTTATCATGATCTCTTCTTTCTAGAGAATGACGCAGGAAAAGTCTGCTCAGGAACACTTTTGCTCCCAAAGAAACAGACTGATTTTCCATGACCCCCTCGGGAAATCAAAGTCTGAGTAATTCCACTTCAGAACAAACTGAATAATTACTTAAAAAGACCAGAATCAAAAATGGAGGAAAAAGTTTAAGAATTAGTTAAAAAATGACAATAATGAAGAAGTGAACATGGGAGCCCAAAAATACAGGTGCTACAGAAACTGCAGCATGTGAGGAAGAGGAGGGTTGCAGAGCGGGTCTTCATGTGTTCATCTGAGATGCTTTAATAACATGAATAATGATTTTTAAATGATCACACGAGGCAGGACTGAGAGTGAAAACTTTATTTTTCATGTTGCAACAAGGAGTGGGTGGGTGGGTCAAAACCTCTGGAGAAGTCAGAGCAGCTTTGGAGAGGGTTGGAGGTTAAAACAGCATCAGCTGATCTCACATAAAAGCAACATTTTATTTTCAGAAAACACAAACGTTTCCCGGCTGTTGCCGACATCAGATACACGCAAACACGCAGCTTAACTGAAGCCTAAAGTTTGTATTTTATTCTGATTTAAATCAGCCTGAGCATTCTCTTCACAAGACTGTCCGACAACGGAAGAGTGCCTTCAGTCAGAGGCTTCTTCAGTTTGGCTGCAACACTGACCGCTACTGGAGATCCTTCCTGCCAACAGCCATTGTAATATACAACAACTCTTGGATGACTTGATTATTATTATTATTCAGAGCTACTACAGCAATCAATTTCCCTCTGGGATTAATAAAGTATTTCTGAACTGAATTGAATGTAAAGATTTTTCCTGCAAATAGAAGAAAGTAAGCCACTACTGTGCATTTCTTCTCCCCCTGAAGCAGGTCTGGTCTTGGTTCTCAGATCTGGATATTCTGTGGATTTTCTGAAAAATGACTTCTGAAATGACTTCTACTGGGACACCGCCAGAAAAACCATCCATCCGTCTACAAAGACACACTAGATAGGATACGTGGCACCAACCATACTGTAACAGATGTAGTGGTGGGGTGACTATGGTGTCAGACTGGTGTGTAGTTTTGTGCAGGTTCTCCTCCCGGTCGTGGCATCAACTTTTTTTTTCCTAGCTACTCTTGCCAATATTGTGTTTTCAACCCTTTATTGGTAAACGGTTTAAAATATAACAACTAATCAGTTTGTTTTTACCTTCTTTGTTTATTTAGCCAGTGTGGGTCCAGAGTTTAAACTAAAATGCTGCTTAGAAACAACCAAATTCAAATACCTTTTTAGAGACATAAAATATTTTGTAGAAAATAATCAATAAAACTAAAATATTAATAAATTAAATCTGTTTCAGTTGGCTAAATACATTACTGCCGACCCCAGTGAGAGTCAAACCAGCGTCAGCAGAGGGCAAAACGAAGCATAAGTCAGACCGTTACACCACTGGACTACCAGAGCTCATACAATAACCGGTTAGCCTAAAACGCTTGTTTAGGCGCATTTTGTCGGAGCGGCCGTGGGCAGAAATTTGCTGAAAAGAACCTTTCATTTCATGTAGCAAATTATACTTATCTTGCTTAATTGGAATTCAGTATTAACAACTGTAAACTAGTAACAGCCGTAGTTCATGTAGGTCAGGTTAGTTTGCAATAAAGTAAAAAAACAAAACAACAAAAAAAAAAAAAAACAGAAGAAGTCAGTGGGCTGGGCTGAGTTTGCGTGAATGGGCAGGGCTGACTCTGGTGCAGATCCACCTTTGTGATTCTGCACTACTTGAAAAAACACAAATTAATGGCATAAAAACCTGAAAGGAAAAAAAGTTAAGCAACTGGGAATGGATGGATGGTCCACTTTTTCCAGTTCCAGTAGTGAACCAGTTCTTCGTGTTCCCATTACCAAGAGCTCTGGCTGTTCTCCCAGCACCATCTGCTGGTTCCAAGAGAACAGCTGAGGAAAACATGAGCTCCAAGTCTAAAATCTCTGAGTTGGTTTCACTTTTACTCAGATCAGCAGCTCATTTAGAGACACTCAGAGCTTCTTTCCTCCAATAAATTCAGTTTTTCTGCTTTCAAGAATTGTATATGTTCTTACCTAAAATCCTGGAATTTGGGGGCGGGGGAGGGAAAAGCTACAAATGGGTGGTTTTCTTACAATAGTCGTGTATGTCTAATCTGTCTGACAGATATTATGGGTCACAAGACTATTTTTTAAGGACAAGCACAGGAACCTCTTTGGTGTAGAAACCCTGTTAGAGGCAAGACACTAGCAAGGTGGAGGTGGTGTAGTGGTTTGGGTTAGGGTAACCCTGTTTGAGCCAGGGTTAAGCTTGGTTTATGGTTGACGCATTTACTTTCCGCTTGGTGATGCGGCTCGCGGATGGAACGCGCTTCACAACTTGCAGAGCTTATGGTTATGCGGCTTGTCTCTGCGGTGAGCCAATATTCTCCCAAACTGAACGGGGCAGCATGGAGCTCTACGACATGCATCCAACACTACACCATAGTAGAAGTAAAAATTACTGTTGTTTACAACATGGCATTCCAGCATTTTTAACAGGGTCCTTGTCTTTTCTGACAGTGCGAGCTATTTCTCACCAAGAATTATTAACAACATGTTGATCACAGTGATCTTTGAGAGCTGAATCATACAAATGTCTGTATTTACGAACCTCTGCCATACTAGTTCTTGCCGGTCCGCCATGCTTTTCCGCGTCCGACCGTCCGCGTGGTTAGAAAATTTCCTAGGTGCGCGCTGCGGAAATTTTGGGCCGTGCGGAGGCGCGGTGGAGGGGCGTGGTTGTTGAAATGACGCAACTTTTCCGCGCGGAGCCGTGCGGACCTCACGGACGCGTCAAGCATAAACCAACCTTTAGGATTAGAGCCACAACAAAAGCAAGGTGGAGGTGTTGTAGTGGTTTCGGTTAGGGTAACCCTGTTAGGGCCAGGGTTAGGATTAGACCCAAGGTGGAGGTGGTGTAGTGGTTTGGGCTGTTACAGTTACTGGAGGAGACTGTGGTCGGCAACATTCAGCTGGGTTAGTGTTAGTCAGCATGGTCTACCAGGAGATGTGTTGTTCTTCTGAGCCATGATCTGCCCACAGAGGGGATACAGTGGAGCTCAACACATCATGGCTGTATTTAATAGTGGTTTTTTTTAGATGTCATTTATTAAAAAATCCTCTATATAATGGAAACAAGTAAAGAATGATTTCACATTTTCATTTAGGTGAAATAATTGTCCACAGACATGTGAACACCAGAGAACAGACCGTTTTTGACTGAGAGCTCTGCATTTGTTCCATTGTAATGTTGTTTATAACAACGACAAGAATATAGATGGATCTGTGTTCTCATCTCTGGGTCCCTCACAGCTCCACGGTGCGCAGATGTCCACGAGGAGAGACAGCAGCCAACACGCTCGGAGGTAAACACTCAGACTTCTCAGTGGTGCTGCCGCAGCAGGACCAGTGGGGCTTCCCGGGATGTCCCTTATGACCGTGACCACAGCCTTTAAACCCTCCTGCAGAGACACAGGAAGGACATGTAGACGGGCTCACGCTCTGGTCCATGTGAATGAAACATCTCACATTCATCAGGCCAACAAAGACCCTCATGATGACCCCAACAGAGATAGAATGGTTGGAGCGTTAGCTCGTGTTTATAGAGCGCCTGCTACAAACTAAAAGTTTAGAACTTGTCATTTCCACATCTCGGTAAGATACCAAAGACCAGGTGTGACACAGTGACAGCTTCCTGTGTGAGCGGACTTGTCCCCAGTACCTGACATCGTTCCTGCGCAGCCACAGATTGCCTCTTTGGCTCCTCCACTGGAGCAGAAGGAGCAGCAGTGGAACGTCCCACCGTGGTGTCTGAACTTCTTCTTCACATTCAGCAGGAACGGAGAACCCTGCAGGGAGGAGAGGGGAGCTGTGAGCTCCAGGTGAGTCCAGCACCTGTCTACCAGTATCCTTTGTTTGGGTGCAGCCCTTAGTACCTTCACATGCTGGGCTTTGACACAAACCCACACAGAGTAAGGTCCTGGTTCCTCAGGCTTGTATGAAACGCTGTACGTTCCATCAGCGTTGTCCACCACCACCGTCTCCACAGCGCTGAAGGACACAACCATTAATGGGTATTATAAAGTATACATACCAAATAATCATTACCAACAAAGCATCCCCCACAGAGGCGGGCAGAGCCCTCACCAGTTCTTCTTCTCTTTGTGGACGATGCTGACGAGGACCTGCTCTCCTCCTCGAGCCATCTGCTCCCCGGCTGAGTCTCGACACACCAGGCTAAAACGGCCCGGCTGGCCCTCGCTGCCCCGCCGCAGACCTGTAACCAGGCTAAAGGTTAAAGGTCACACAGCTGAACACAGACAATGTACTGCAGGACTAAGAGGATAAATCTAAACATAGCTTGTTCATGTGTAAGGGGCACCAGCCAGGAAGCTCTTTTAAGATCTGCTGTTGACTCTTAATGTGGATTTGGATGTTTAGCCTGCTGTAATGTGGAATTAACTCTCATTCCCCAGCCCACCCATGACTCCCGTCCTTCCTAACGCTGCCAACTGCTTCCAGATCAGCTCCGGATGCTGATCAGTTTTCCAGACTCTCCCGCTTTCACTCACTCGAGACATCCAGCTGCTGCTGCAGTCGTGTCACTGCTGACAGACTTTGTGTTCGCATCAATGATTAATGTCACGCTGGACATCTGTCAGACTGATTATCTGATCACTCAGTGTTGTCCACAAGCAGCTGAGATCCTGAAGCCGCTGATGTTGATGAAACCGCTGCTACTGCAGAAACGGTGGACAGAGATGCAGCAGATGTTAAACCGCTGATAGATGATTAATTTGGGTCAAAACTGAAATAACGATTATTTGTGTTAAAGTTTTTACATTTCTGAGGTCGTGAAGCCTTAAAGCTTAAATACTTTGCAAATTTTCAAGTCACTTTCTTGAGCCAGTGTGTGCTAAAACAACCCTTTACAGCACATATGTCAGAGTCAAGGCCCGCGGGCCATATATAACCCGAGCAAACCTACTGTGGGTTCCTGAGGTGAGAACATGAGTAGAACACGTTTTTGTTTCCAGACCTTCTGAAGAGTCTGCTCTAAATAAATGACTGTCTCCAGAAAGTGTCCTGAAGCTTTCTGTCTACATGTCTGGACCTGACAGCATCCTCTAAGGACATTCCCAGAAGGCATGTTGAGTCACACCGGCATTCCTTTGGTTCAGGAGGAATTCTGGAACGCCCACTGGTCTATCAGCTCAGTCTGACCACTGACTTGTTTCTGTGACCAGTAAAACAGGATGTGCAAACCCAGTCCCGAGATCACCTTCTCTTTATCTTACAGGAACACAGACAGAACACCACTTTGCCTTTGTTTACCTTCTCCTTCAATGGTGCACCTGCTGACATCCAGCGTCCTCCAGTTAATCACACCCACCACTGGGTAGCCCTCCACCTCTCCGGCTGGCTCTCTGGGCAGGAAGCAAATGCTGCTGCTATCGTCTGGGGCGACCACCGCTGGACAAGGGTTATAGCCTCTCTCTGCCAGGCTGGCGAGTCGTCTTAGAGTCACTCCTTTAGCGCTGAGGATCTCGGCGTCAGACCCACAGCTCAGGAGGCGCTCGGCAAACGCCACACTGCCTCGGACATCCAGCAGGCCCTGTTGCAGCTGCACGCTCTGCAGGTGGAGGACGTTTCTGTGGGAAACAGATGGGGCTTGGGTTCAGTGGTCCTGCTGTTAAAAGGTTACAGGTTACTGAAGAATAACCAGCTGCTCAGGGTCAGATTTGATAGGATGATTAATGGAAGGAGTTCCATAAACTCTGGTTCTCGCTACAGATTTAGCTCTGCAGACCGGTCTAGCCACTCTGCACTGTAGCAGAGACAGTCTGAAGGACAACTGTAGACTCCGTCCCACGGCTGTGTGGGTCATGGCCAGACAAACTGTGCATTTGATTTGTCCTCGGAAATCCCCACCTCCGAGTAGGAAAAATCAAATGATAAGCAGGATACTGGGAAAAAGGGGATCTCTGATTAGGCCGTTTTCCACCAATCAGTTCCAGCTGAGCAGCAGAAGACGGGTGGATAAATGTTTCCTAAGCATTCACTTCCTGTTTAGCTTTGATGTTTTTATCACTTCATTCTTTCTGTTCTGGTTAGAAGAGCTTCACGAACGCGGTTAATACGATTGTTCAGGGGTGGGAATTGAACGCATCATTTAGATTAATGTTTTACTCAAGTCCCACTCGTAGATGTTTAGTTTAAAGAGCTTAAAACCAAACAAAAAAACATTAATATAATTAAGGGCAGAGAAAATGTTACTACCAAACTTATTTATTAGCCTCGAGGGCCTTAAAGTAGCTTTTCCCCTTTCAGAAATGATGTATGATTGTCAGAAATCCGTAAAAGTGATTATCTCATCATGTACTGTGATGTAATGTAGAAACTAAGACAAGTTTTTTTTGTTTTTGCTAACCACGCCCCCTGCCCCACAGAGCTCTGTGCAATAGGAAACGGAGCGCAGACCAGAACTAACCAATATCATTAGACTACCGCTTAGATGCTTCAAATTTAAGGAATACCTCGACTGATGCAGAGTTGATGAACTTTTCACGAACAAGTAAGTCTCTAAGATATAAATATATGAGAACAAAACATGACATGAGAATAATACTTGTAAAACAACATGTTTTAGCTGTTTGTCGGCTACAGAAGAACATTTATAAACAGAAATGTGAAGTCACCATCTTAAAAGGAACTCCGGCTAAGAGGACGTGGATGCCCTAATAAGCCACAAGTTTTCTGTTGTATCAAACTATGTTGTTAGAAACACACAAAATATAGCCGTTTATTTATATATCTAAAATATTAAGTACATTTTTTGACATATGCAGGACGCCATGCTTTCTGCATGCAATGCACTCTAGGGGCAATGACGGATATTGGCTGCACTTGGAAGAATAGCTATTGACGCTAGTGTTTGTTTACGCGCTCACTGTATTAATTATTAAGTAAAATGCTGCATTGTGCTGCTTTTGGATGTAATTTCCAGTCAGAGGGCAACAAGGGGAGTGATGTGACTTTACACAGCTTTCCCACTGGCAAGAAGAGGAGAAAGCAGTGGGAAGATGCCTGTGGACGGACACAACTTCCCAAAGAAAGTTTCAGAATTCTAAAAGAAGGCTGTGTTCCCAACATTTTTCTCCTGATGCGTTTGAGGCTTATAGTCAACCACAAATACTTTAAGAGCTCACCGGAGCGGCTGGGTATAAGAGAGGGCAGAAACTAAATGCTTTACTGGCCATTTTCCCACACAAGGGGCCTAAACACCCTCGGAGAGACGAGAGACGCTGGACACTCTCCTGAGCCGACAATCAGCTCCTGCAGCTGCCGCTTCTGTCACGTTCAGCGAACCATCTGACACGCCACTCGCCACGGATGCAGCTGAACATTCACCTCTCTCGTCAGTAAAACAAGCAGTAAGTGTAGCAACAGTGTTCTCCAAATATATATCGTAAATCCTCTAATACAGGCAGGCATTCAATTAAAGGCCGGGTCTCCAATTTTGGCCGCGCCATCTCCAACGCCAGTTCAAAGCGTTCTAGAGAAGTTGTCGGAGTGGCCAATCCGTAACTTTCCTCTTCAGCCAAAAGAACCAACGACAAGCTGGATAAAATCTGTTGCTGTTCCAACTGCTGCAACGGTTCATTTCACAATAAAAGCTGAACCATCACGACCCAGGTTTGGGTCTCGCTAGATGCCAACAAACTGTCGTGACCTGGGAGTATCTCAAGACTGGTGGTCGGCTGCCGTGGCTCTTCTACATGCTCCGGCTCCACAAGGTCAAGCTGGACCTCTACACCTCCTGATCTAGACGGGTACGTAGACCGACAAATGGCGTTGAATGTGTTTATGAACCTTCTAACCAAAGCTTAATGCGAAGACATCACCTTCATTTCCCCTCAGAACTAATCGTTTCTTCGGATTTGCTGGTTCTGAGCAACATTCCACACTACACCATTCTCCGTCTCACTCACCTTAGTTACACCATACATTTAGTGTTAAAGTTAGTCTAGTTTAATTTGTTTAGTAATAAATCTTTAAACTTTTAAACTTGACTCGCTCTTCTGTTGTCTCTGAGTGAATTCGAAGCTGTTATCTAATCCCTGCAATAAAAAGTTCCAATCTTCTGGTTAAACAGTACCCACAGTCAGATCCATAAGGTGGATTTCATATTTACTATGGAATCATATGGCTTATGGCTTATTAAATAACATGTAATTTAAATCATTACAAAACACTTCTGGTAACCCTTAGCTACTTTCTACTGTCGCTTATAATTCCTGCAGGTCAGAGCGTCCTTCTGGACATTCGGAAGGGAATGCTGTAGTGAAGTGTTTCGTTTACAAAATGAAACGGCTCTAAGGCCTAGCTCCCAAGCCGCTGAGAAAATGTGCGTGCGCGGCACGCGCCGTGAGACGGGGTGGAGGGTTAAACTCCTTCAGTCATGAGCAAGTGTATCGGCTCCTTTGTACTAGGAATCAGTTGTTTTTGCGATTACCTTGTTTCTTTCTATTTATCATGTTTTTTTCTCTCTGATTGTGCAATCATATGAGCAAATACAAACATATAAACATAAAATCAACATTAATTTAAAAATCATCTTAAATAATCAAGATCTCAGTTTCAGTTAAATAATCGTGATGATCATGTCTGCCATAATCGAGCAGCCCTGGTTGCTACTACTGCGCGGAAACCCCGTCGTACCTGCGCTGGACCTGAAGCTCCTCTAGGCGCCGCAGCAGAGACAGACAATGGGCCTCCACAGCGCTGGCGTAGCCTCGAGCAAAGGCTCTGATCTCACTGGCTGTTGCCTCGACCCGTACCTTCAAATTCTCCTGGGAAGTTTCCACCTGTAGCAGGATATCAGGAAAAATTAAACAAAATAAAAAACAAAGCTTAACAAGCCGCACCACCAAGTGTGTTTTAGATAACAAAAGAATGGGCTTAGAGACGGCCTCTCTGAACCTTCTGTAGAACTTCCTCCATCTGCTCCAGTCGGGGTCGTAGACGCGTGCTGACCAGATCTCGAATACGGTCACCGTGATGGTCGATGACGTCGTGCGTAGGACAGCAGTGGTGGTCTCTGTGCAGCGTGGAAGCGCAGTCCAGACATACGGGTAGGTCGCAGAGCTGACAGAAGAGCCTGAGCTCCTGGCCGGGGTGAAGAGAGCAGAGGATGGGACGACCAAGACGTCCACGAGCCTTCAGGTCCTCCACCGCCTGAACAGAGTGAGACGCTGTTCGCTTCTGACGTCTGGACACGATGCAGAGAGCAGGTTTTCACACATCTGGATAGGCTCATGAGCACCACACCACTAGGTGGCAGTAACTCCCACATTAATGACAAATCAAAATACAAAGGAAGGTTTCAGCTTTGCTGAAGATTCTCTGAACACTTTAGTATTAATCTTTGTTGCTTAACTGAGTTCTTGAGGGTTTAAGTGGACGGGCCATGCCCTGGATCAACACAAACGCTTTGTTGAGTGTTAGGGTGAGAGCATCTGGACAAAATGAGACAAACTAAGGCCGTGTAATTCAACTATTTGTTCTAAATTACTACCTAAACAAGTTAGTTAACAAAAGTGTGTATTCTTATTGAAATGTTTTCACATTAAACTTTGTAAACATGTTCATATTGTCCTTCTGAAGGCTAGTCTGAAGGTGTTTTGAAAAAATGATCAGCTCAACAAAGGTGATAGAATGAGGGCAAAACCCACTGAACCGTTTATGACATGCATCAACTGACCTGTAGTAAAGCTTCCAGAGATATTATTTTGTACATTCCCATGCCCCGAGGTTCATGAAAAGCACATTTATACAAGTTCTAACCCCGTTTGGATAGTAGTGGCTCAGCTTTTGTTTAGATACATTTTAGGCATGTGCATTTTAATATAGTGGCTCCAAATCAGGAATGTCCGTAGGGCTATTTGTGGCCTTCTGTGATTTTGCACAGCCCCCAAATGCATATCTAGAAGGATGAACTTTGTTTCTTTAATAGGCTAGAGCAGTGGCGGCTCCAGAAATTTTTTTTCTGCAGGTGCTATGAAGGAGCTAGTTTTTTTTATTGAGGGTGCTATGAAGGAAGTGGTCATGCGTACCTATTGTTCTCTAAAACACCTTCAACACTAGCAGATACACATGCGTGCACAAAACCTCAACAACACCTGAAACAATCATTAATATACATCATAAACATATGAACAATCGCTGACTTGTCCATGAAATCATAAACACATACAGCCACACAGAAAACCATCTATAGTGTTGCAAGGTAAGCTAACGTTAGTGTTAGCATTTCCAGCGGCAAAACCCTCGACTACTGCGGCGGTTGAGGGTTGACTCTCTTCATCCAGATCCGTATGTTTTTGTGGGTCTGAGATCACTTCCAAAGATTCATTTGTTTCTGACTGAACCCGTGGAAATGTGGGCAACAAAAACCGATCCATTTTACCACTAGCTCTACCTTTCACTCGTTCGCAGGTGGAAAATGAGGTCAAAGGTTAACATCAATTTCCTGTTTTGGTTTAAGATTTTATTATCTACATGATAATTTCCTCATTATTTTTGTTTTGTATGTTAAATATTATCACAACCACACGTTACATTAAAATTAAATTGTAAAAAACGTATAAACGGAAGTCGCCTTTCCAGCTCACCACTCAGTCATCGTTTCTTCAGATTCACGATCAGAGTTTCCAACGTACCGATCAATCCAACGAACTATCAGCTCATAGTAAGTTATCTTACTTACTTCTGGAAAGCCCGGCATTTCCGTGTCACTTCGTTGACGCTCGAACGCTTGGGGGTTTCCTAGATCAGCCGGCGTTTCACCGACACTATCACTTCCGCGTCTGTGAAACCACGCTCCCTATTGAATTATCGTATGATCACATTCTCTTTTTGGGGGTAAAACTCAAGTGCCAGACCGTAGGTACTGACACGCGATCGTTCATGTCGGTTCATTTCCTTTAATGTTTTCTGTCTTTTATTTGCGCCTGATGTGTATCGCTGCTGTGGAGCGGGGCGCTTCACCTTGTCCTCCGACGCACAGATCACAGCAGGGAGCGCTCAGCTGTTTTCGCGGTCGGTAGATCTGCCTCCTGAGCACGGCCACAGTAACAATCAGGTGTCGCCACCTCAAAAACTAATTTAACACGCGATCGTTCATGTCAGTTCATTTCCTTTAATGTTTTCTGTCTTTTATTTGCGGCTGATGCGTTTCGCTGCATGCTGTGGAGCGGGGCGCTGCGCGCATCACCTTGTCCTCCGACGCACTGATCACTGATACAGCCGCCAAACAGCAAGCGCTCCGCTGTTTTTGCGGTCGGTAGATCTTTTAGAACTGCAGTTCAAAGGTAACTCATGAGGTGAATATATATGAACCCAGGTAGCAGTTTTTTTTAGGATTGAGAGGAGATGCAGGAAGATAATAAACAGACAGGACAGAAAAATAGTCAAATAAAAACAAGTTAGTTTTTGTACCTGCTGGTTGCAACAAACAGACACCATTGAAGGTAATCAGAAGTGAGGAACAGAAAATGAAATAATTATTTTAATGTTTAGAGCAGCAGGAACTCTGAGAGGCTGCAGGTGCATCAGTGAGTTTGCGGCCGCTGCGCAGGGGGAGGGGGGAGAGGGCTGAAGCAGAAACTACCGTTGTTAAAAGAAATGTGTTTAACTTTGAAAATGTGGGCGCAATTTTAATTGTCAAAAACTCCAGCGAACCATTAGTTCATTTTGCTCAAATAGAAATAGAGGCCTGCCTCTAATACTGGCCCCCTTCCAATAAAGGCCTGGAGCTTGATGAGCTCGAGTCAAATACAGGCCCGGGCCTGTATTAGAGGATTCACGGTATCCTCAGAAGTTTTAATCAACACCAAGCAGATAAATTCTACCTCCGGCTACTAAAACTCAATATCTGCAGTCTCTTTAAAAGTCGGACTCTGAAATGTTCTCCAACTCAATATCTATGTTTTAAAAAATGTGATTTTTAGTACCAAACTAGAGGTATTTGGATTTTGTTTCAACTCTAGAAAGGTTCTATCCCAAGAGCTGTAGCACAGCAGAGAAGGAAGATGAGGAGCTTGTGAGAATGTGCACCACCTGTGGGCTAAACTTTTCAATCTGATTGTGACATAAATAGACATGAAGCTAGGAGGTCTGGGCCTACTCCACCTGTGAGCTTGGCAGCAGAACTCGCAAAGGTTGACCGAGCAGACCTCACAGCGGCTCTCAGCGCCTCCTTCCCCGCACAGGTCGCATCCCAGCGGGCCGTTGGTCACCAGGGTCTCCAGGAACACTTCGTCCAGCGCCAGGTGGTCTGTACTCAGTCCGGCCGGACCCTGCTGAGGGAGGTCCACTTCGGAGTCACACTCGGGACACAGTACCGTTGTTGTGACGCTTTGTCGGCTTGTCTTCACCGCCTCTCCGCAACTCCCGTTCCCACGAGAAGACACCGAGAACGCCTCCAGCTGGCCGATGCAGTCGGAGCAGAACGTGTGAAGGCAGGGGAGGATTTTAGGGTCCCGGTAAAGGCGTTTACACACGCTACAGACCGCTCTGGGGTTCACCGGAGCGGGTTTAGGTGCATCCGAGCTCAGGGTGGGCTCTTTCTGCTCCGGCTGCGACATGGTTCGCTTTGAACGAGTCCAGGTACAGAAATCAGAGCAGTCAAACACCCAGCTCAGCAAAGTTGTCAAAGCTGGAAAACTTCCGTAAAGTCTTTTGGAGCATGTCCAGATAGCTATATAATCCGCTTCTCACGCGATAACCTGCGACATATTAAACGCCCCACACTAATAAACCACTTTTCTTCACCTCAACAGCCCCTTCGAAAAAGTTCGGTGACGTGTTCAGAGACGCCTGGGACATACGAACTTCACCCTGACAAACCAATGGGCGGCTCCCCCCCTGGCTGCATCCCGGAGATCGGGGCGGGGCTAAATGTGGGCGGAGTTAAACGTTTAGAGGTGGGTGGAGACAACTATTTGACTCCTGCCCCTCTCTCAATGGAACCAGGAAACCGCGAGTAGCCCCTTTCTAAGGATTAAAAAGCCCTAAAAACCCACAAAACCCATGTAAAGCATAACATTGGTAATCAAATGACTTATTTGCTGGATGTCATGATAATTTTAAAGAGCAGATAATTACAGGTGCCATTTTTGATCCAATCTGTTCTGATATTTTTATTCTTTTTTCTACTTTTGTATGGTATGTGTATTTATAGCACATAGGTATTTGTGTCTTTTAGCTATACTTTTGGTACCTATATAAAAGGTTCAGGCATTTGATAGACTATTCTTTAAACCTGTCAAAACCATTTTAATAGTTGATTTTATCAATGCCGCCTTTATTTTAATAGTCATTTCCCAAGTGAGTGTAAAACAGTACAGACACGGGTAAATTTGTTGTACACTCAGTTATATCAGCTACATTAAGAGGACCAGAGACTTAAATTGTGCTGATACTTCTTAAAACATGCCAGGGTTTGAGGCGGGGTGGTGAGACATTGTGTGAGACACCCAAGAATGCAGACTAAATTTTTCAATAAAGGTAAATTTAATAGAGCAAACAGCCAACACAGGAAAAAAAAAGTACAAACAAATGAACCAAAAAGCACACAAAAAGCAAGAGAACCTCCAAAAAAACAATGTGAGGAGGAAAAAGAATGCAAAAACTGTGACACCGCTGTACTATGGCATTTCAAAGCCAGAAAACACCCTGATCTTCCTTTTTTCCTCAATTTCTCTGCAGAACTCCTCATAGTCTGACTGAAAACTAAACATGAACAGGAACGGTTCCCTGCAATCGTTCATCTCCTCTTCATCTAGGCCATCACAGAAGCATAACCTCTCCACTGCCCTCCGGCAAGCTTCCCTGTCCATGGTGATGACCTGGGGAAGGGAAAGGAAAAAGAGGAGAACCAAGGGCACTTTACTCGGAGGAGATGCTCCCAGGCTACTGCAGCCACTTTTGCAGCCAAATGAACAATTAATGTGTCTGCTCTGTCGCCGCCCCCGTCTCCACACACAACCACACACTCACACGCACGCACACACACGTCTGTCTTTCTATCATAGTGAGGACCCTTCATTGACTTCCATTCATTTTTGTGATTTCACCATGCCTAACCCATACCCCAACCCTAACCATAACCAACGCTTATCTTTTCCTAACCCTAACCTTAACTAAAACTTAATTCACACTATGCCTCTAACTGGTATAGTAAGCTTCTGGTATGCTTCTAAAAAAAGCGAGGACCAAAAAATGTCCTCACTTTGTAGGGAAAATGGTCAAAATGGTCCTCAGTATGTAGTATGTACAAGAACACACACACACACCACACTGGTTGTAGTGACCAGGTTCCCCATCAGTGGTTCTCCCACATCTTGGTTTGTGCTTTGATGCCTGTTTTTCTTTGTGAGAGTTTTTGATCATTCTTCTTGGAGTTCTATAGCAAAAACTGTAATGCTCTTGTGGCAAGGTGGATAAACAAGGGCCCGGGCGGGATTCGATCTCCAGACTCCCGGGTGAGAGTCATACACTCTAACCAGTCAGCCAAAGGGACATCCCCTTGGTCAAGTAGCCAGGGCGCATGATCAATCGGGACACTGTGACAGGACACACACTGTAACACTCTGTTTGAGAAAGTGAATCTGTTGGGCTTGTACCTGGTACTCAGAGTACCACACTGCCAGAAAGGACAGGCTGAAAATAAAAAGCTTTTTATTTCCATCAATATGTGTCTCCTTATTCAAATAATCTGGGTTGTAACCATCCTCTCAATCCTTTTTCTGTTGTTCATGCTCTTGTAATCTGTTGTTTGTGTTCTGCATTATTACAGTAAACCTGTGGAAATTATAAAGTGGACCTGTGTTATTTTATATGGATATAAACATGAGTGTAGTTAAATCTGTATTTAACATGTTTAACCTATGAATACCTTGAGAAACTATTTTCAAACATTAATTTTGCAACATTGTGAAAATGATCACTATGGTATTACAAAGAATTAAGTTATTTCAAGACAAAGTGGCAAACTAAGAAATCTAACACAAAAGTAGAAAGTAAAATTTTAGGTGATGAGCCAAATTGGCTTTTGTGCAAGAATATATTACATTTCATATGGGAAAACATTCATAGGACATGTAGTGCAAATTAAGAATATCTGCTGTATCACAGTGACATATTTTCAGCTTTTAAATGAAAATATAACCTATTGTGTGGAGAAAAAACAAACATGTAATAGGTTACCTGAAGACTAATCAGCCAGTGTTTACTGACAATTTACAGTGGACATTATCAACAGAACATCAAGATAATTCAAATCAATCGTCTCCACACATACAAGCATAAACACACTAAATCAAATTTAACACGCATGTAAAAACACGATTTGTAACAACGCAAATTCAGTTTACAATCGGGCTTATTCGCTCGGTCAGCAAGTGGCAGTATCCTCGTACACTGCGGAGTAAACTGCCATTGAACGGATCACAAGACGAATATAGCATCTGCACATGCGCGGTAGACCCGATCTGTACGGTCCGACGTTTTCTTTTTTTTTCTTTTTATCTACATTATATTGAAATGTTTCACTATTGCAAACATTTTAATAGATACTTATTATTTTTTAACGTCTTAACAGATACTTTTTTTTTATTTTTTTTTATTTTTTTTTTATTATTATTTTTTTTTTAATTGTACAGATTCACAAATACAGCGCATATCTTACAACTCAACAAAGTATGAATAAGTACAGTTGGTTAAGAACAAAGCAGCCATCCAAACAAAGAACAACAGCAACAAAAAAAAAAACAAAAAAAAGGAACATTATAGGTCAGAGATAACAAAACAGCATACAAGTGCATTAAATGACCTTCCATATGAAGTAAAGAAAACAAAGAAAACTAAACAAAAACATAAGTACGCACATACATTCTAGCTACATCAGTTGAAAAGCAACATCAAAAAATCAAGTAAGATCTTAGCCTTCTTTAATTTACACTTATCTAATGAAGCCTTCAACAGAAGGACTTCATTTTTAAAACCAGCAAAATTCGGAGTAATTTTTAAGAAGCGACATTTATGAATAAAAAATTTTGCAACTATACATAAGTTGTTAATCCCAGATTCTAATTTCTTATTTTCTGTTTGTAGGTCAAATCTTATTACTTGAAAGGTTAAAGAAGGGCAATCAATACTTTTAGAGGTTAACCAGTACTGAAAATCATTCCAAAAAGATCTGGAACTGTCACATGAATAAAAAAGGTGCTCTGTAGTCTCAATATCAGTTTTGCAAAAAGTGCATGTGTTCGTATCTATATTGAATTTCTTATGAAGATAGTCCTTGGACGGGTAAATGGCATTTAAAATTTTAAAGTGATTTTCTTTTGCTTTTGGTGGAATTGGAAAAGAGAGATATTTAGTCAAGAACCTAAAATTATAATCTTTAAACAAATATTTTCTTTTTAATTGAGAAGGAAAAAGTTGTTTGGTTAGAATCGTCCTTAAGAATTTATTATTGCATGACTTTCCATTAAATTGACAATCATCAATAACTAAGGATGGTTCACGAATTATAGAGGAAGAATAGGTTAAACTGGCTTTAGCCATCTGAATCATTGCAGGGGGAATGGCTTTCACAACTTTAATGAATTTACTTTGAGTACATGATACGCTATAATTATCTATGAATTTATTGTACGATAATACATTGCCATCATTGTCTAACAAGTGTAAAACTGTCCAAATTCCATGATCCATCCAATCCTTATAAAAAATGGATTTTCGGTTTATCAATATACATCTGTTGTTCCAAATTGAATTTGTATGTGGAGAAAAATTGTGCTTGTAAATCATTTTCCAGTACTGAAGAACCTGTTTATGAAAATTAGATAATTTAATAGGTATTTTGGAAATTTCAAAATCACATTTTAAGAGAAATTCAATGCCACCAATCTTCTCGAAAATTATTTTAGGGAAATAAAACCAAATACTGTTTGAGTTATTTATGAAAGACTGCAACCATTTGAGTTTGATGGAACCATCCATTGCTTCAAAATCAATCGCATTCAAACCTCCTTCTTCAAACGATTTCACTACATCATTCTTCCTAATATAATGTTGTTTGTTTCTCCAAATGTAATTAAAGTTAATTTGATTTATATTAGAGATTAGTCTATTGGAAACATATAAGCACTGTGATGGATAAATCAGTCGAGAAATACCTTCTGTTTTGGTAAGTAAGACGCGTCCAAAGATGGAGAGGTCTCTTTGTAACCAGCTGAATAGGATCTTTTCAGATTTCTGGGTAATATGCTCAAAATTTAGATTTTCTCTATTGTTTGTATTCTTTGATATTATAATGCCCAAATATTTAATTTCAGTTTTAATAGCTATGTTAAGAGAGATACTGGGTTCACAATCATGAATATTTAATAATTCACATTTTCTGATATTCAGGTACAAACCAGAGGCCTTTGAAAATAGTGAGATTTCATTTAGTGCAAGAGGAACCTGTGTCATGTTCTTTAAAAATAGTGTCGTATCATCTGCTAATTGACTTATGATTAATGGGGCTCCCATCAAGTTCAGTGGTTGAATATTTGGATTGTGTTTCATGAAAATAGCTAAAAGTTCTGTTACAATAATGAAAAGTAACGGAGAAGCTGGACACCCCTGGCGGATTCCTCGACTGACGTTAAATCGTTTAGACGTTCCAAAAGGTAAAGAAATAGAACTATTGATATCGGAGTATAACAAAGAAATTAAATCTATGAATTTTTTACCAAAACCAAAGTACTGTAAAGCTTTCAAAATAAAAGGATGTTCGACCGTATCAAATGCTTTATAAAAGTCTAAAAAAAGAATCACTCCATCATCTTCAATTAAGTGATTATAATCCAGTAGATCTAAAGCTAGTCTAATATTATTATGGATAGAACGATTCTTAAGGAACCCAGATTGTGTTTCACTAATAATCTGATCTAAGCCGTCCTTTAATCTGTTTGCAATAACATGAGCCAGAATTTTATAATCTGTATTCAATAGAGTAATTGGTCGTAGATTATCGATTAATCTTTTATCTTTACCAGGTTTGGGGATAAGGGAAATAAGACCCTGTTTCATTGTCGTTGCTAATGTTTCATTGCTAATGATTTCTCTAATAGTTTTGAAGAAAAATTATTTCATTTCTTTCCAGAAGAATTTATAAAAGATGGCAGTCAAGCCATCCTGACCAGGAGCTTTGTCCATTTTCAGTTTGTTTAAGGCTTGATCTAAATCATCTAGTGATATGTCAGAATCACAAATTTCTCTGAATACAGAATCGATTTTTGGAATATAAGGTTCAATCTGATCAAAAAATGTAATTGATTCAGTAATTAAGTATTTAGATGAGTATACATTTGAATAAAACTTATGTATTTCTTCTGCTATAGTCTTGTGATTTGTGCATTCTTCCCCATTTATAAGTAATGTATTAATACATTTCTTCTCTTGCCTCCGTTTCTCCAGATTGTAGAAATATGAAGTACTTTTTTCGCCTTCTTCTATCCATTTTGCACGAGCTCTAATGTATGCTCCATGAGCCTTTTTCTTGTATAAATCATCTAATTGAGCTTGTAAAGACAAAAAGGATTTCTTATCAGCCTCTGACATAAACTGTCTATTACAATAGTTATTTAAATTGTAAAGTAGTTGACTTTCAAACTCCTTTTGTTGTCTACTTTTCATTTTACTAAACGTAATTGAAAATTCTCTAACTTTAAATTTAAAAAATTCCCATCTGTGTGTGTAAGTACCAATTGTTCCATCATTGTAGATTTTATGCAGGAGTTCTTTAACCATTTTAACATACCCATCATCAATTAACAGATCTGCATTAAATTTCCAGTAATCCTTTTTAAACTGTGTTTTATTTTCAGGGTTAAGTTTAAGAGTAGTAATACTATGATCTGTCAACGGGGCTGCTGAGATGGAAACATGTGAAACATATTTATATAGTACAGACGAGCCCAACCACAGATCTAATCTGGACATATTATTACCATTTGGTTTAATCCAAGAGAACTGAGTAACTCCAGGGTGTCTTAACAGATACTCTGGCCCGTAACTATCGTAAAATGCTTCGAGCGGAAGTAGACGCCTGTCGCGCATGCGTGGTACCGATCACTTCTTACGCTGACGCTGGACGACCGTACATCACGTGACGCGTGACAAATTAAAGCAAAGAGCGCGTGACGTCATCAAAGACAGCCGTCTTACCGACTGCACACAACTAGCACACACCACAGTTCGCAGCTAGCCGCTGAGAGAAGAGGAATAAACATGCCTTCTAAAATAAGGGAATTGGAGTCTATCTTAAAAAAGAAAAACGAGGAAATAGCGCTGATGAAGGCGGCCCACAATGAAGAAGTTAAAAAACTTAGAGGGGATCTGAAAACGGCTGAGAAACTTTCTAAATGCTCTAATTTAACTTGGCAACGTACTTTAGACGAGAAAAAGAGTACAGAACAGAAACTGACTTTGAAAGTTGAAGAACTCACAAAGTCATATGAAGACATAAATCGTAAATATAATCGCATTTTAGGGTCGACCTTGTCGAAATGGTCAAAGAAAGTCTCCGATCCAGGAGAAGCTGAACGTATGGTAGAAATCCTGCAACAGAAATTAGAGGAACAACAGCTTGTTGTAGACGAAAAACAGCTTGCTGAAGACAAACTCCTTTCTCAAATTTCTACTCTCCAGGAGACAATCAGAGCCATGGAAAATAAATATCAGACATTGGATAATGCCTTCACGACATTGAGAGAGACAAGCTCATGTAAAGCATTAGAGAGTTTGAAAGAGAGTTTAGACAAATCTACTGGATTAAATGAGTGTTTTCGTCAGAGGACTGAGGATCTGACACAGCAGGTAGAAGAATTATCAAAAGAATTACAGGACTTAAAATATTCAGACAGATTTAACACACCGCTTAGAGTTTGTGAACGTCAACTTGAAGAAGCCAAGCAGAATATAATGAAATTGGAACAAAGGAATGAAGAATTAAAGGTTCAGCTGGACCAGAAAATCACCAATTGTACCTCACAATGCCAAGAAGAAAAGAGGTCAAAAGAAAAGAAAATTCAAATAAATGACACCAAACTTAAGAACTTAACGACAATTCTCAGTAAAACCCGCAATAAAAATAAACAGCTGAACGAGAAAGTCTTGACTGAACGACCTCTTAGAAAAAAATATGAGCTGGAATTGTCTGAAATGAAAATAGATTTGGACACAAGAGTGGACAGGTATGAAAAAATAATTATGCAAATGACAGAAGTTAGGTTGAACCAGTCTAGAGACATAGAAAAACTTCTTCGTGAACTGGATTTTCTCAGAGGAACCAGAAACAATCATTCAACAGAACTCCAAACAAAAGAAAGGAAAATTGCTATCCTTGAGGACAAATTAATGACACAGAATCCAATGTTGGAAGAATGCCAAAACAAGTTAGCTCAGGCTCAACGCACGGAGAAACAGCTGCGTAATGAAATAGCTAAACAGAAAGTGGCTTTAGAAGCAGCTGCCCAAAAGGAAAAGTATTCAAGCACACACCGTGAGCTCCTGGAGGACTACCAGAAGTTACACAAGAAACATACAGAAATCCTGGGACAAGTGGAGCCTCTGAAATTCGAGTTTCTGAAAATGAAGCGAGATCTGACCAGCTGTCATAAAGTAATAGATAGCAGAGTCAAATTTAAATCAGCATTTTTGGATATAATGAGAATGTATGTAGACAGCAAAGATGAAGAGTTGTCCAGGTTTCTAACGTGGTCTGAGGGCCACCAGAATGAACTGGATAACCACAAAAGAGATGTGGAGAGCGTCAGAAACTCATTTGAACATAAAATCATTGAACTCAAAAAGCAGTTTGAATTGACGAAAATTAAATTGCAAGTTGAACTGCAGAAAGAGTGCGCTGATGTTATAGTAGAATTCGCTGAACTAAAGAAAGAGAATGGAGAGCTGAAGAATAAACTGGCTCATAAAGAGTTTCAACTTGCAAGGGCAAGACGGTCAGCCAAGACCAAGCAAGGATGAGTGAATCAAGTAGAAAAGCTCAGGTGGAACATATTTAACAGTGTGGAAACGTCACAAATCAGAAAGCTCATTTTCTCTGCATACACATGACGGTTAAATCACACTGTTGTGGCGATATTTACAGAGAGCAAACGCTTCACTCAGACTATTACCATAAACAGGGTTTTACGTTGTGACCGAATGCCTAAGCGTTCAGATAGGACACCCCGAGTTTGTTCTTATTTTACGCCCAAACCGTTAGGGTATGTTGCGTCCAATTTAGTTTTTAGAATGTTTGATCAAGGTTGAAGTAGAGGGACAATTTTCAACAAATTTGTATTTTTAAATAATTTTCTTGAGCCTTTATGTGCTATAGTGACCCTTTAGAGGGATAATGAAAGGCCACCCAGCCCCTATCGCCCCCCCCCCCCCCCCCCCCCACGGCCAGAATAGTCCACTTGCAACTTCACCGTTTCCGGTGCGGTCTGCTGAGACTTAGAAAAAATTGAGCTGAGGTTCCTGACGCTGCTGTCTGGCTTCAGGATATTTCCTGCAAGATTTAGATAGTGAACCCAGCTGGTTTGTTTAATTCAGTGATGAATCCCTCTAGTAGACAACTAGGAACGCTGGGAGACGTTTCTACTGGTACCCCCACTAATTATACATCAAAAGGAGCGGCTCGGCCGAATGGTCTAGTTATTATTATGTGAAGAGAGCCGAGTAGTTGATTGCATCAAGGAAGTAACTCCTTGAACCACGGAGTACAAAAAAACCCAAACAAAATAAAAAATACTGCAGCACAAGTTTTCACAGGAAACAGATTATTTCTGTCTCCTTGTGCTGCATGGGGGTTTTCTCTGGGAGCTCCAGTTCGCCCCCAACACTAAAATCACAACACGTTACCAATGGATCTGCTGAGCTGTCAGCAATTAAACAGCATTACCACAAGAAATGCAATTTATCCAGTTTATATTTAGAGTTTGGCATTCCCGTCCCCTTTTACTTTTTTGAGTAACACAGTGCTTCTCATCCCCGGTCCGCTGTCCTGCAAGTTTTAGATTATGAACCCAGCTGGTTTGTTTAATTTAGTGATGAATCCCTCCAGTAGACAACTAGGAATGCTGGGAGACGTTTCTACTGGTAGATTAAGGTGTTAAAAAAGGAGAACGCACAGCGAGGAGATATTCGCTGCTACAAATGGACACTAGAGGATGATAAAAGCAAGCAAAACTGCTCAGTAAGATGAACCTAAACTAAGCAAATGAGACCATAGCCCTGACATCACGTGCGTTAAACCCCAGATGCCGAACAGCCCCCACTATCGCCCCACACACGGAGTCAAACACCTCCAACTCAGAAACCTCGTTTGAAATGCCGTACACCACACTCACAACCATACCATAAACAGGGTCTTACGTTGTGACTGAATAAGCGTTCAGATAGGATTGCCCAAGTTTGTTCTTATTTTAGGCCCAAACCGTTAGGGTAAGTCACATCCAATTTAGTTTTTAGAGTTTTTGAGGGACAATTTGCAATGTTTTCATCTGCTGGTTTTTTTATTTAGTGATGAATCCCTCTTGTAGACTACTAGGAACGCTGGGAGACGTTTGTACTGGTAGATTAAGATGTTTAAAAGAAGAGGACACTAGGGGTGATAAAAGCAAGCATAACTGCCTAGTATCCCTTTAATACAAGTTAGCGCTGATAAAAGGTCTGCTATTAGTTATACTCAGGTCTAGTGGGACCAACCTGATCCTTCCTAATCCATAACACTACAGAATTTCACTCAGTATTTGAACGCTGTAAACATTCTTTCCCTGTTCCTCTTTATTCAAGGCCCTGACCCTGAAAGCCACTTATTGTTCTGCACTAGAAGATTTGAGCTCTTTATAATTGCTATTCACCGGAGGATTTTTAGCCCTTCTTTATTCTCCTTCCGGATGTTAATGTGGCTCGAAGGGCAGAGGGCACCCCCACTAATTATACATCAAAAGGAGCGGCTCGGCCGAATGGTCTAGTTAGTATTACGTGAAGAGAGCCGAGTAGTTGATTGCGTCAAGGAAGTGCCTCCTTGAACCACGGAGTACAAAAAAACCTAAACAAAATAAAAAATACTGCAGCACAAGTTTTCACAGGAAACAGATTATTTCTGTCTCCTTGTGCTGCATGGGGGTTTTCTCTGGGAGCTCCAGTTCGCCCCCAACACTAAAATCACAACACGTTACCAATGGATCTGCTGAGCTGTCAGCAATTAAACAGCATTACCACAAGAAATGCAATTTATCCAGTTTATATTTAGAGTTTGGCATTCCCGTCCCCTTTTACTTTTTTGAGTAACACAGTGCTTCTCATCCCCGGTCCGCTGTCCTGCAAGTTTTAGATTATGAACCCAGCTGGTTTGTTTAATTTAGTGATGAATCCCTCCAGTAGACAACTAGGAATGCTGGGAGACGTTTCTACTGGTAGATTAAGGTGTTAAAAAAGGAGAACGCACAGCGAGGAGATATTCGCTGCTACAAATGGACGAAGTGATGTGGCATCTCCTTAGTTGGTGCCCCTCCACACAGAAACTCTGCGATTGTGTTCTGTTCTCAGCTTTGTATGATTTCCCCAATGATGTTGTGAGGGATGTGAAATGATGATGTTCAGTAAACACAAATGCACTTGCAGAGGGTCCCAGTCTCTAATGAGAGAGACAGTTGTGGGAGAGAAGGGTTGTCTTTGTGTGGACGCGTCCTGGGGGCCGTCCTCACTGGTAGTTGGTAAGATGGCCCGCTTCCCTCCTGCACCGAACCAAACGTGGACCCAACCAGAGGTACATCACCAGAGACAGCCATGGTTGTCATCACCGGAGCCTCATCTGCACCAAGTCTGTGGTACGCCTCCTGCACCTTCAGAATGAAGCTGTCATCGGGGAAGCTGACTCCTTTTTACAAACTGCTTCTTGGGAAGAAAAACAAAAGTCAAATGGGGTGTGTGCATGTGTGTGTGTGCGTGCAGTCCAGAAAGAAAAACATACCTTGTTCATTCTACCGGTCTCTTCTCTCTTTGTCTGGCTGATATGATGACCATGTCATTAACTGGACCTGGTTTAATACCTTGTTTCCAAATAAAAACAAGTTTAAATGTTATAACAGAAATATGTATACACATAATAATAGTATCATTAAAAGATTGTAACCTTGGTCCCCGTTTTGTGCCACTGTTGTTCAGTTTCTGTGCAGCTGAACACTGTGTGTGTGTGTGTGTGTGTGTGGGGGGGGGGGGGGCCGATGTAAGTTTCAGCTAGGAGAAATGTGCCGTCTGGTAGAGTTGAGCTGCCACATGACATCACAAGGCTGCACCTGCCACACATACACTGGCACCCCCACCGGCTTTGAATCCCTTAGCACAATCTGTTACAACACAGAATATTTGTTAGAGTACAACTGCATTTAAGGAGAGACAAACATTGATGATTAACTTCACTTAACTCATTTTAAAATAGAAGAGTAGAACAAGTAGTGGACAAAAATAAAATAACTGTAAACAATGTTGTGCTTCTGCGAGTCATCTAATGTTTGACTTTCTGTGACATGCTATTTATACAAACTTTACTTACTATATTCTTTCTGGGACACATTTTATCTCTGATACCACATGACACACGTAGTTCAGGCATGTCATTAACCTGTTATCAAACTAAAAGCAATGATATGACTCGCAAAAATGTGACGTTTAAAAACATGAACAGTCTTCTTTTGAACCTGAATCAATCCTGCACTGAACCTGCAGGGAAACGTTTCCCTACACTCAGACGGTGGGGCTTCTGGTTTTTCCTCATTGACCTGAAACACTCGGACCTAACCGTGACCTCTCCTGACTGCATGATTAAAACTGAGAATAACATAAAAACTGTTTTTTTTTTTAAATTTCAGACACGAAAAACACGCATGACCTTACTTATCGCTCCAATAACGTTTCCTTATTGTGTTAACTTAGGCTAGTGGAGAGCTAGCGTGTAGCATCTTTAGTAACTCACAGCAGAAGTTTGTTAGCTTACCTTCATAGCTGTGTATGTAGCCGGGCACATACAATACATGTAACGGGTCCCAGGAGTGGTAACTGCCGTCACAAGTAGGTTACCTGTATAAAGCAGGCAAAAGCAGAGTACTGAAGACAGGATGCCTCTCTTTTCCTTCCAGTTCACGTCTCATTTATTTTACAAACTCATGAAATTATAGTCACACGGTTCATTTCTGTTACTCCATTTCAGTTCCTTATAATTTCACTCCAAACAAACAACTTACATCACCCCTCAAGTTGCTTCTCACAGCATTCTAGTCAGAACGTATATTTCATTTTAGGTGACAAACACATTTCTATTGTTGATTACTTTAAACAATCACTCTCTGCCAATAGTTCATATTGAGGTTCTTTTTTACAGTGTATCACTGAATTCAATCATAGCGTGCTATCTGCAATCAGATGTTACCAATCAACCATGCTCTGTGTAAAACAGACTACTGAAACAAATTGATAAAATGTCCATGTGCTATATGATCTTACAGACATCAAAACAGGAAATTATTAACAGGGTTAAACATTTGAACTTTGCCACTCAGTTAAACTATTCTTATAAAACACACTATTTTCTTGTCACTGTCTGTAATACAGTAGAAAAAGTTCGCCAAATACAATCATACTCCTTTTTAATAGCGCTGAGACTCCCGTTTCAGCATAATAGCGGACACACGGAAAACCGTTGTCCCGGTAACAGCCGTTTGTTAGTTTACCGGCCGTTTGACCTAAGATGGCTGCCGCGAGTGAAACCGTTACATATTAAACAGTTTTTTGTTCAATTTAACTAAAGCATAACAACGTGGCACTGACATATATATATTGCTACCAGCTTAATAAAACAACTTTTAAGAGTTTATTCACATTTTCTGACCTGTATAAAGCAGGCAAAAGCAGAGTACTGAAGACAGGATGCCTCTCTTTTCCTTCCAGTTCACGTCTGAGGAAACGTCAGGCGCAGGCATCCCTTTATCAGTCCCCGGAACAACAAATCCATAAACAAAGGTTCCGCTCTGACTTAATGTGTCCATAAATAAAACATAAGCGTTTAAAAGACAAATAATATATATATATATATATATATATATATATATATATATATATATATGATCAAGATTTAAATGTGGCAATCCATTTCATGGGTGCTACACGCTCCCCGACAACAAAAGTGGCCCCCGACACTTTGACCAAAAAAAAAAAAAAGATTTTACAAGAACCTCCAACTAGTTCCAAGTTTACTCAACCTACACATGTGGAAACAACCAGCTGGCCCGTACTCAAACAAACATTGGGAAAAGAGGCGGTGTACAGTGGTATGGAGTAAACTGTGTCCCATGGAATGGTGGCAAACTTGGATGTAATTGTCCAAAACTGACAGCAGGAGCAAGGTAACAGTTTGCAGTGTGAACCACAGGATGTGGCTGGTAAGTTGGGTGACCCAAAGATGAGTATGTTAACATTTCTCTTGGTCTTCTCTGTCTAGTAGATCTCCGTGGGTGAATAGAAGGACTCTGTTCAGGCTCCGACATCCCCTGTTGCTGGGGTTCAGGCGGAGGGTATTCTACATCCCCATCAGGAGGGTCAGCTGTCCGATCATCCTCTGGTTGTATTTGATATGGGTATTCCTGCACAACTTCAGGTTGCAAGTCATTCTGCCATGCAACACCTTCACATGCCTCAACCGCCTGCTGCACGGTTCCCTTCTCAGTTCCACTTTGTCTGTACGCTGCCGTTTCAGATGGGGTGCCACTGTGATCATGTGCATTCCCCTCCTGCACCCTTTGTCTTGACCCATTCTGGGTTTTAGTCAACTTCCTTTTAGGAAAGGGTGACATATGAAGCTCTGGGCTCCCCTCCTCAGGGATCATCCGTTCCTCAGGGATTGTAGTCCTTCCTGGCACGGTCCAATTTATTGGTACCCTTAGCCAGTATCGAGCCCCGGATTCCTCATCCGACTCAGATGTTTCTGGTTGGACTGATTTGTCTTGTCTGCCATTGACTCTATCCACGTTGTTTCTCTTTTTCCTCTGTGTCTCTTTGTTGCTGTGTGAGAGGTGTTCCATTGGTAGATCATTGACTAACAACAGCAGATTTCGGTGTAGGGTCCGGATTCTCCCCTTGTCATCCCCTTCAGGGTAAACAATGTACACAGGGTTATCTTGGACCTGTTCTTTAACCACGTATATCTTCTTTTCCCAATAGGAGTGCAGTTTCCCAGGTCTTCCCTGCTCTCCTAGGTTCCTGACAAGGACCCTGTCTCCAGGCTTCAGGACAACCCCTTTTACTTTATGGTCATAGTAGGTCTTGTTTTTGGCACTTGATGACAGGCTGCTATTTTGGGCTATCCGGTATGCTTCTGACATCCTCTTGCGCCACTTCTCGGCATATCCCTTGTGTGTCACAGAGTCATCCTCTTTAGCCAAACCAAACAGAAGGTCCACCGGGAGTCGAGGGTGTCGGCCATACAGCAAGAAATGGGGAGAATAGCCCGTTGACTCATGTCGAGTGCAATTATAGGCATGAATAATCTGTGGAAGGTGTTCTTTCCATGTCTCCTTTTCTTTCTCTGTCAGTGTACGCAGCATTTGTAGTAGTGTGCGGTTGAACCTTTCAGCTGGATTACTCTGGGGATGATACGGGGTTGTTCTAGAGTGGCCAACTCCAGACAGGTGTCCAAGAGTCCGGAACAGCTCGTTCTCAAACTCCCGCCCTTGGTCATGATGTAATTTGTTGGGGAATCCAAAACGAGGGACAAAATCATTATAAATCCGCTCAGCTGCTGTGTGACCCGATTTATTTTTCGTTGGGTAGGCCTGTGCGAATCTTGTGAAGTGGTCGACCACCACTAAGATATACTCATAACCGCCCTTGCATTTCTCGAGATGCAGATAGTCAATACAAACCAGCTCTAGAGGTGAGTTGGACTTTAAGCTGCTCATGGGCGCCCGTACACGAACGGTTGGTTTCTTTTGTTTTATGCAGGGACACCTCCTAGTTATATAGTCCTCTATGCAGTCCTTCATTTGAGGCCAGTAGAATCTTTCTCTAGCAAGGTGTAACACCCTTTCAGTGCCAACGTGGCCCATGTGATCATGAAGGTGTCTAAGCACCATAGTCTGATACTTGTTGGGTAAGACCAGCTGTTTCCGCTCTGGTGTTTTCCTGTATAGAATTCCATCTTCCAGGTCAAGTCGTTCCCATTCGCGGAGAAGCCTGTTAGCAGACCACCTTAAAGATCTTCGGATGTCATCGGTAAGTCTAGTATTTGACTCTTTCAACCTTACAATCTCTCCGATTGCTGGATCCTCCCTTTGGGCTTCAACTAAACTGTCATGTCCAATTGTCTGTAGAGGTGGGTGTGGTTGCAGAATAACATCTTGTGAAGAAGCCATGAGAGCAGCCACCCAGGCCACCTCCCCTCTCTCGGCGACCCTAGCGCCCTCCCAGGCGGTACTCACCACCTCCTGGGGCAATTCTTCTGTACAAGTCGATATAAAGTGTTCAATGTCGAGGGGAACACGGGACAGAGTATCCGCATCCACATTTATTTTTCCTGGTCTGTACTTGATGTTGAAACGAAAGTCGGACAGTTCCCCTACCCAACGATGACCAACTGCATTCAGCTTGGCTGTACTCATAATGTATGTGAGTGGGTTGTTGTCCGTGAAGATAGTAAAATGTGGAGCATAAAACAGATAGTCCCGGAATTTTTCACACACTGCCCACTTTAGAGCCAAGAACTCCAACTTGCCACTGTGTAGATGGTAGCCTCGCTCTGCGGGTGTGAGAGTTCGTGATCCGTAACCGATGACTCGTAACTTTCCACACTGTTCTTGGTACAACACAGCACCAAGACCCCGCTCAGATGCATCTGTGTGGAGTATGAAGGGTTTGTCAAAGTCTGGGTATGCTAAGATCGGAGGCTGTGTCAACATATTGACGAGCTGCTCGAGAATTTCCTGATGGTAAGTGGTCCATTCAATGGGTGTTTTGGATGATAGCTGAGGCCCCTTTGACTTCCCCTGATGGGGGTGAGTTTGTGATGTTGGGGACTTTCCCTTAAGTAGCTCATATAGTGGTTGAGCGATTCTTGAAAAATTCTGGATGTACGAGCGGTAGTAGCTTAGGAATCCAAGGACCCTCCTTAGGTCACCTACGGTCCGTGGTGTATTAGCTTTCAGAGCCATCACAGCATCTAGGTCTTTGGGATCCACACGAACTCCCTCTGCACTGACCAATCTTCCAACATAGCGAACTTCAGCTTTGAACAGCTCGCACTTTTCAGGGCGTAGTTTCACACCTTGACACTGCAATGACTGAAGTACTTTCCGGAGCACTTCTACATGCTCTTCAAAAGATTGTGAGAAGCAGAGAATGTCATCCAGGTATGGTATACAACAGTCATCTCTCAGGGGACCAAGGACCTCCTCCATACTTCTCTGAAATGCCGCAGGAGCATTTGAAAGACCAAACGGGATTCTCACCCACTCAAATAGACCCCAGGGTGTGACAAAGGCGGTAAGGTGTCGTGAGTCTTCAGCCACAAACCCCTGGTGATACGCTTTCCCTTGGTCAAGGATACTAAACATACTATACCCTCCCAAGGTATCAAGCAGGTCTCTTATTCGAGGCAACGGGTGTCGGTCTGGCACAGTCTTTTGGTTTAGTAGACGTAATCGATGCAGAGGCGCAATGTGCCATCCTTCTTTCGGACACACACAATAGGAGCAGCATAAGATGATTTAGATTTTACTATCCATCCTCTCACAAGGAGTTCTTGGATGTAATCCTTTACTTCCTTCAAAAGAGGTTTTGGTATAGATGTATAAGCTCTCTGCACAGGAATTTCGTCCTTCAAATTGATTACCATCTGCAGGGTTGGGATGCATCCTATGTCACTTGAATCTCTGGCAAAGGTTTTGGACTCCTCATAAAGCATTTTCCTGGCAACCTCTTGTTGTTCTGTTGTCAAATGGTCAATGTTTACTGGTGGGTCCCAGAGAGGTGGAGTACACTCAGTTGGGCCGGCAATAATGTTATTGACTCCCACATTGGGAGTAGGTTGGTTTGGACAATCGACATTCAAGATCCGTTCAATAGGCTGTAGAGTGCCTAGAAATGTTCTTTTTGGCAAGGTAATGTCATGTTTGGTGTCGTTAGTTACTGTGATCATTACATAGGGCTTGGTGCCTTGCTTTATGTGTACCAATCCTGTGCACACTTCAAGCTGCTCTAAGGACTGACTGCCCTCTTCAGCTTCAAACAATACTGGATGATCAGAGTAATCCATGGTCGGTGACAGCTGACATTTCAGCCAAGTGACTCTTTGAGCAGGAATAACCATGTCTTTTCCTCCTATCCTTAGAGGACAATGAGGCTGGCTTGGTCCTTTTGTTTGGATAAAGCTCACTAGTGCTTCGGCCCTTTCAGGGTCAACAGAGATGGCATTGTGGAGTAACTTGACCATTGTTGGTATAGCTTGTTGTGGCTTTCCCTCAATTATTTGTTCTAGGACATTAAAACCAATCAGTGGTCTCTCCATGGGCAAACTGCTGATTAATACTGGAACACCAATAGACAGACTGGGGTCTTCGCTCCCAGGAAGATTTATCACTATGGGTACCCAGCCATCAAATGGGATGAGGTCACCATTCACTGCATAAACTTTCAGTTCATCCATTTCCTCAAGGATTTCTGAAAGTTGGTGTAGGGCAAGATCAGGCAAATACCTGTTCTTCCAGTCCATGCTTATAATGCTGACTTGTGCACCAGTGTCAAGTAGAGCAGTTACAGCCAAACCATTCAAATTGCACTGAATCAATGCTTTTTTTCCAATTAGTTTGGCAAGCGTTCCTTGTTTTGTACACTGGACTGAACCAATATTAGGCTGAGGAGATAGCTCTCCTTGCTTACAGACAGGAGCTTGTGTAGTTTTTAACATCGTCGTGTTGGGTTTTAGTGCATGGCTGGTTTGAATCCCAAAGTTTCGTGAATTTTCTGGTTGGGGCTGTTTTAATCCGATCACTGGGTGCC